GAGATGTCAGCACCACCTTGTTGCAAGGATCCGCCTTCAATGTGTCGTGGCACCTTGCTTATCCTCATCAGGTAAGTCATTTCGGTTTCGGTTTTATTTGTTCTCATTTTCTCTTACTTTTGCCATCGTCATCTTCATCGTCATCTTCAACGTCATCTTCAACGTCATCTTCAGCGTCAGTCCTCATTACCATCGCATACTATCGCCATGATTGGTTCTATCAGATCATTAGTAATCAATGTGATGCACATTGGAACTGAGGCTCACTTCCTTGGACAGGGCGGCTTCCGGCTGGAGCTGATGGACGCGCAGGAGCGGCCGCTGGCGGACCTGACGCCCGTCACAGCCGACTCCAAGTTCCTGGCCGATGACACGACGTGAGAAATTCCTCTTTTGTTTTTTTTGTTTTTTGTTTGTTTGTTTTTATGTGTGTGTAAAGGATGAAAGGAATCATTTGTGGACCAGTAAGGCTTGTTATCGATTTTTAATGTTGCTTCTTTTTTATTATGAGCTTATTATATGCATCCATTAGTTTATCCTCTCTGTTCCCCTTGCAGAGCCCAGTCCTTCAGGGTCAACCTGCCCAAGGACCTCGCATGCAAGGGCTGCACCGTGCGCCTGATCCGCGAGGCGAGGGAGTGGGGGAAGTCCTACAAGTTTTGGTCCTGCGCCGACGTGGATATTGTGCCTCGTAAGTCCCCCTCGCTGGTTTGTGTTCCTGGTTGTATAGTCGGCGCGCGAGATCAGGCTGGAAGTAGATCAGGTTGGAGTAAGGCTTAGAATGGGTTCAAAGTGAAAAAAAATATCAAACTTGAAGGTAATTATAAAAAAGAATCAAAGACGAATGGATTACATTTTTACGGACGATCCTTATAACCATTTATGTAAATATGGATAGTATATTTCACAAAATAGACGTGTGTACATATTATGTATTTCCCTGCACATCTGTATATCTATAGATATGCACGGTATCTATATCTGGTTACAACAAGAAATATGAAGAATTTGTGATTTGATATTTTGTTTCCTTTCTTTCTTTTCCTTTTTTGTACATCTAATTCACTCGTATCCTGCGAACCAGTTTACGCTCAGACACAATCACTCCTTTCAAATATAAAAAAATGACGCATATCCCTCCCCCTTCCCCTCCCAAGGCAACGACTACCGCGAGGACTGCAGCGGCCGCGGGAAGTACATCGTGTCCCGCTGCCACTGCAACAAGCGCTTCTTCGGCAAGCGGTGCCAGTTCGAGAACGAGTGCGAGGACGACGACGACTGCGGTCACTTCGGCAAGTGCGTTGACATCGACTCCACTTCGTTCCCCAAGAAGCAGTGCTATTGCCAGCAGGGACGATTCGGCCCCAAGTGCTCGAAAGGTGAGCTCTCCTTCCCCGCTCTTTTGGGGGGGGAGTCACTCTTCTTAATTGGATGTGTTTTTTTTTCCTTTGCTTGATTATTGGTTGTAGAACTATATATATATATATTATTCACTCGGTACTTTGTATGTTCCCCAGCTTCTCTGATCACCAACCGAGGTCAGATCAACCTGGGGACCTACAACAAGAGGGAACTTAGTGACAAGTTGTCCCTTCACTGGAAGGTCCTGCGAACAGAGGGAGAAATTGAGATCGTGCTCGTCAATAAGGGCACCTCGTACGTCGCTTTGGGCTGGAGGCCACAGGATGCGACCAAGACGTGCCAGCAGTTCCCTTACATTCACGGCACTGTGAAGGAAGGTGGCTCATGGGCCAAGTCAGAACCGGAGCCAGAGGCAGAAGCTGAACCAAAGGCTGAAGCTGAACCTGAAGCTGAACCAAAGGCTGAAGCTGAACCTGAAGCTGAGCCAAAGGCTGAAGCTGAGCCAGAAGCTGAAGCCGAACCAGAAGCTGAAGCCGAGGCTGAACCAGAGGCAGAAGCAGAGCCAGAGGCTGAGGCTGAACCAGAACCTAAAACACCATCCAAATATGAGGCTCATGCAGAACCTGAGGCAGAACCAGAGGCTGAAGCTGAACCGGAGGCTGAGGCAGAACCAGAAGCTGAAGCTGAAGCTGAACCAAAGGCTGAGGCAGAACCAGAGGCTGAAGCTGAACCAGAGGCTGAGGCGGAACCAGAGGCTGAGGCGGAACCAGAAGCTGAAGCTGAACCAAAGGCTGAGGCAGAACCAGAGGCTGAAGCTGAACCGGAGGCTGAGGCAGAACCAGAAGCTGAGCCAGACACAAAAGCAGAGACCACGAGGAAGCCCACACTCAGCCTGGCTGGTATGTTGACATTGCTTAGTACTTCTTTTCGGTTTCAGGTTAGAATTTTAATAAAGGTCAAGGTTCTCAACTCCGAAGTTGCACCCCACAGACTTTTATGCAGCCATTTGGCAAATATTGCACCGATTTTAACTTCTAGAGGGTTTTTAGAATGGGACTTGGGAAAACTTGTTGCAAATGACTACTACTGGTGATGGGTAGCTCACAAAGACTGACCTTTTCGTTAATGCTTGACATTTTTTCCTGAAGTTAACTACACTTCACATATATTTAAGTATTTCATTGATTTTTGATAGCAGATAGCAGGTGTTGGTTCACTGTTCTGAGTAAGCACAAACTTGTCTAGGTAAATATGTGACAAACTGAGGTGTTGATCGTCCTGGTTTCATACTGTGATCTCTAAATGTTAATACACTTTAAACAGCCACTTCACCAACTGTCATGGTGGAAGCAGCAACGTCTCCTGTTGCTGTGGCAAATGAGTCTGTTGAAGGTGCAGAAAACACAAGCCTCCCAGCCATTACAACTCGCGACTCGTTGCCTGTAATGTCAACTTCATCTGTGTTTTCAAATTCTTATGTGTTCACTAACACCCACAGTATCACCTCTACCTCTAGTCCATTCCCCAATCCAGTTCCCACCGTTGGTGCTTCCCAAGCAGTAGACACAGTCACTGTCAGTACACCAGTCTCCCAACCATCTGTGGTCATAGTCACTCCCTCACTGTCACCAACCGAACAGCCTGTGGTCACCACTCCCCCAACATCATCACCTCTTCTCTCCACCACAACTTCACCGTCCCTGACAGACTCGACTAGATTTGTACCTCAGTTGAGGATAGGTTCAGGAACTAAGTCCTCAGACAACACAGCAAAGACCACGACTCAGTCTAATGTCACTGTCACGAACGCAACGAGTCCTGACGAGGTTTCTGTGAATATGACTTCTCCCACAAGTGATCTTTCTTTGATAACACCCTTTTCAGACCGGTCAGATGCGACTTTGGATTCTGCACCGTCTGCTGTGCCCAACCAACAATCATTAAATACAACTTCCAACCTGACTGCCCCCCTATCTTTCTCTGCAAATGCTAAGACATCTGACTCTAGTTTGACAACAACTACATTACCTAACCTGCCATCTTTGATAACCACTGTGAGACTTGATCAAGTTTTGACAGCCAAGACAGTGCCTAACCAACCGCCTTTGATATCTACAGTATTTAACCAGTTACCCATGACTACACCTTTGACCACAGCTACAGGGCCGAACCAGTCAACTCTGACAACAGCTGCAGTTACTAACCAATCTTCTGTGACAAAAACTACAGTATCAAACCAATCACCGGTGACAGGTACCTTACCTGAGGAAGTATCTTTGACAGCAACCGAAATATCTAATCAACCAACTGTGACTGATCGACCATCTGCGGTAACTACAATGCCTAACCAACTACCAGTGACTACTACATTGCCTGTGCAAACATCAATGACTACTGCAGTGTTAAACCAGACACCTGTGACTACTACAGTATCTAACCAGCTACCTGTGACTACTACAGCATCTGATCAGCTACCTGTGACTACTACAGCATCTGACCAGCTACCTGTGACTACTACAGCATCTGACCAGCTACCTGTGACTACTACAGCATCTGATCAGCTACCTGCGACTACTACGGCATCTGACCAGCTACCTGTGACTACTACAGCATCTGACCAGCTACCTGTGACTACTACAGCATCTGATCAGCTACCTGTGACTACTACAGCATCTGATCAGCTACCTGTGACTACTACGGCATCTGACCAGCTACCTGTGACTACTACAGCATCTGACCAGCTACCTGTGACTACTACAGCATCTGATCAGCTACCTGTGACTACTACAGCATCTGATCAGCTACCTGTGACTACTACGGCATCTGACCAGCTACCTGTGACTACTACAGCATCTGACCAGCTACCTGTGACTACTACAGCATCTGATCAGCTACCTGTGACTACTACAGCATCTGATCAGCTACCTGTGACTACTACGGCATCTGACCAGCCACCTGTGATTATTACAATGTCTAATCAGTCATCTGCGACTACTTCAGTGTCTGACCAGCCACCTGTAGCAACTACAGTGTCTAACCAGTCATCTGTGACTACTAAAATGCCTGATCAACCACTTGTGAATACTTCACTGTCTGACCAGTTGCCTGTTACTACTGCAGTGCCTAACCAACCCTCTTTGACTTCAAGTCCTTTACCTTTAACAGTAACATTATCTAACCAAGCACTTCTGACTACAAACCCCACATTGTCTAACCAACCATCATTTAGTCTCACCCCCACTGTATCTGTCCAGTCATCATCTTCCACCATGTCTAACCAATCACCTGTGTCTGCAGCTTCCAACATGTCGGATGAGCCATCTGTGAGCACAAGCACAGATCCGCCATCTCTCGCGCCAGACATGGCTTCTCCTCCTCCTCCTCCTCTTTCACCTCAGACCCTAACCACTGCCACTTCCTCACCGCTGCTCTCTATCAAACCCACTCCCAAGGCTGTTCCCCAACCGTCTGTGACCCCAGACTCGTCTCTGTCCCTTTCACAACCGCCTTTGGAACGAGAGACTTCCACTCTCCCCCCACGATCGCCGGTGACCTCGGGGTCGTCCACACTCGTTCCACAACCCTCCATCCCTACTACAGCAGCACCACTACCCTCCAGTATGCCTGTTGCAACTGACAGGCCTGTAGTAACTGAGACCCCAGTGACTGTCACAGGTACTAGCACTGCCCAGACCATGTTAGACACAACCAGGGCCATTCTTGATGTTCGTGTCACATCTGCAAATGACACTCTAGCTAGCACTACATCTGTGTCAACTGCCACAACCACAGCTAAGCAGACCACCACAACCACCACATTGATGGCGAGGACGACGACACCGACTCCCGAAGTTGCCACCACTACCACCACTGCCAGGCCCACTACGAAGACCACTGCGCCGAGAACCACTACCACCACTACTACAACCGCTGCGCCAACAACAACCACAACCACAACTACCACTCTGCCAACAACCACCACAACAACCACGCTGCCGACTACTACTACAATGCCACCGACGACAACCACAACTACCACTACTACAACCACTACAACTACAACAACAACGACCCCTACGACCACCACCACGACCCCAACGACCACCACCACGACCAGAAGGCCAACGAGAAGGCGGAGAATTAGTGAGTTAACGCCGCGAGTCGTGCCTGTGGAGACCTGCATCCCAAGTTGCTATTTGCTGCACAATTTTGTGTTTGATAAGCTAGTTTTATTTGTTTGTTATAATGCACCCATTTTGCTTATGTTTTTGTTTTATTTATTAAAGTCTGATGATTTTTGTACACCTTTTGATTGTTTGCATTTGTCTGCATCTTTTGCGTCATGTAATATTGTTTATTTTGTTTCTTTTACAGACTTCTTTTCATATGTTAAATGATATGTACGGTTATGCAGGTGTTTGTCATGTCACATGATTTTTGTGGAAACTGCCATATATAAAGACTCTTGACAGCGACAAGCTTTTAGACCCACTAGTGCCAAGTTGACAGGAAAATGACTAAATAATTAGGAGGTTGAGACAGAAATAGAAATACTAGTAGAAATAGAGATAGAAAAAGGAGAGAGAAAGGGAAAGCGTATAGTCATGTAATCTGTTTTTTAAGACTATTATTTCAGTAAAAAAAAAAAATCATGTTATAGTGGTGATAGACAGGTGATAAGATGAAATTGAAGTTAGTCTTAGATAAGTATATTTGATGATAATAGTTGTGAAGATGAAGTCAGTTCGAGTCAGTAAATACCACGAGCCATAGGATTGTGATTTTTTATAAGGTATTTCATCTTATCTTAACCCATTGCCGCCGGGGATGGCATGTACGTACATGCCATGCCCACTGTGAGCCGACTTGTTCGATTATTTTTACACATAGATGGCTACACTTGTACTAAGTATCCAATGAGCCAATTACGAGTACTGCCTGTCTCGCCCTTTTCATCGATTTACGAAAATATATAACGTTATCCTAATTTGCTGTTAAAAATAACACCATCTATATTTATAGCACTAGTAAATATACGTTTTTTTCCCGCCGATTCAAGGAAAGGTGAAATCAGGACTAGCAGAGCCATCTATGGACAGACATATTTCACAAAAATATAAAAAATGAGTACTGTATTTCCCCCATTTTTTGTTCATTTTCCCCGGCGGCAATGGGTTAAGGAATAGAAGGATTTTTTTTGAATTAGCTAAGGTATGAATGACAGGATAAAAGAAAGAGGGATTATGATCAACAGATAGTATGAAGAAGTATTTCCAGTGCTGAAAAGAAATACAGTATGATGTGGATATGGTTCATATATAATGTTTCAGGGAATCTTTATAGACATTAGTAGGTATAGAGGATGTCCCAGTATGTAATGAGTTACTGTTATTCATGCCAGAAATTATACATTCAAAAGAAAGATTTTACAGTATACAAGCGGATTTCTGCGGTTGTCAGAATTTTGTTGTTATGAAATACGAATATTGAAAGAAACCTGTGTCTCTAGTCATTTCTGTTTTGTTTCCATTTTGATCATTAATTCCGAGAGTTGTATATGTTCTGTTTTATTTGTTTTATTTCTTAATTAACATTTGAAGAAGTGTTTATGCTTGATGATGTGGTTTACATATGTTCCGTTTGAGTGCAATGTCATGTTAATGAAGCACATGTTTTTATTTCAGAAAATGAGTATATCTCCCCAAAAAAATATTTATATAAGGCTTCTAATTGATAATTGCTTCATTCTGACATTTATAACAGCCTAAGAAACTTATCAGATTTTGTAATTCCCATCTGTTTTCGGAAATACAAAATCGGTCTTTTATTTTGAAGTAGTGTACAATATTAATACTACCCTGACTTCGATTTTTTTTTTACTAATATGTTCAGTTATGTTGAACCTTTGTTTTGACGGGTTCTTATTAACATAGTGTAATGTGTTAATTATTGACAATGATTAATCTTCATGAACCTCTCCCTTTTTTCTCTTGGCAAGAAAGTAATCACCTCATGACTCTTATACTTAGTTGCAATCGGCATGTCGCATGCAATAGAGATTGATTGCCAGAGTTGGAGAAATAGATCTTCCATGACTTGCTCTTTGCTAAAGTCGCATTTTGCATGTGTTTACAGTTATTATTTTTGCAACTACTTGTTGTCCTCTAGAGAATGAAATGGTTGTGTGAGTAGCTCTATTAATATTCCATTTTTTTCCATTCCATATTCCTCTTCCTCTCTTCCTTCAGGTGATGTTATCGAAGGTAATGCCCGCGATGCATGTTTCAGTTTCATTAGTAGTTGTAGCATTGCTTCATGTGTTTATGATATTGTCTGCTATTAATTATTTTCATATGAATATAGGAATTGCTTTTCTGAGGCAACTGAGATGTGTAAAAAGGGAAAAATTTGTCTAGATTTGTTTGTCCAATTTTAGTATTGCAAGCATTAAAATCCTTTGCCTTATTGCTAGTAAAGCAAACATTTCTGGATGATTCTATTGTAACTAAGCAGTAAATCCACTTAAAGAAGAATTTGAATTTGGGATTCAAGCACACCATTGCCTCAGCCCCAGACAGAAGGGGTAACAGCACTAACCCGCGGCACAGCCAAATTCCTTCCCCCATGCCCGCCCACTTCCCTCTTCATTGGTTGGGCGTGAGCATTGTGCAAATTGGAATTCATTTAAGCTGCTCATGTGGCAGAATTGGTGTAGAGCTTACAAGTAACCGAGAGATGTATGACAAGTTTTATCGTTGAAAATGATGTACACATAAGTGTGTACATGATTTCAGTGGTCTCGCTGTTTTAAGATCTGGCTGTGCCACGCCTTGGTTTTGAAATGAACTGGTGTTTTATTTACCAGGTTCAGAGGTTTTTGATTAAGTATAGTACTAAGCATTAGAATATGATGTTTTGAAAGTAGAAAAGACAAATTCATATCGTAGACAATAGTTTTTTCATAGATCAGGTGAAAGATTTATATCAGATTCAAACTGGGAGAGTAGCTTCTAATTTCTCCAATTGCGTATATCTGCAGATCGCCTTTCTGGTCTTCTTGTGCCAAGTGGTAGAAACAAGCGCAGTGCTCCATCGAGGTGAGTTTTCTGATCGTCAGCGTAATGATGGTTTTGATGATGACGTTATTATTACCATATCCATAACTCGGATGATGATCGTCAATCTTATTTTTTTTTATATGTTTATTTATTCATTACATCGGCTTTTTATTTAATTTCAGGAGGGCACGTTTTGCGGTTCCACTCCTCAAGAGTGTCGAGAAACCACAGAAACTGACTGGAGAAACTGAAGCCATGGTTGGTCACGAATCAGAGCCTGAGGCAGAAGCCGAGGCCAAAACCGAGCCAGAAGCCGAAGCCGAGGCCGAAGCAGAAGCCGAACCAGGTAAGCTTCATGGCCACGGTAGTGTAGATGCTTTGTGTATTTTACATAAATGACTTATCACTTATTTTGTCGTCATAAAAGTTTTATAATGATATACTTCCTTTAATTCTCATTTTCAACCAATTATTTTCCCGATTCCTCCTCTCTCTCCAGAGCCGATCAGCGGCGCGTCCCCCTTCGTGCCGCGCGGCAACCTCCACGCCATGGACTGCACGGACATCGTGATCGGCAGCGCCCGCGGGAACCTCTACCGAATCGGCGACTACTACACGCGCGACCGCTCCACGCCCCGCACCGACGAATTCTGGGGCGGAGAAAGCTCCCTGACGGCGGCGCTGGGCTGGGAGGAGGACGGGCAGACCACCATCGTCTTCAGGAGGAAGCTCAACGGTGAGGGGAGAAGTTCGGGGCTGGGGGGGAGGGGTCGTGGGAGGGGGGGTTTATGCAAGTGGTGGTTTATTTTAGAAGAAGGGAGGTGTGAAAGCAGGTTTTAGGGGCGGAGGTGAACAGTAGATAGGAAAATAAAAAATGTGTTTGAATGGTCTTTATGACTAACGAGAAGAGAGAAGGGGAGAGGCCTTTGGAGGATATGAGAATGTGTGAAGTTCGCATCGCGTGCATTCTGAGTTTGTGTCAACTGAGTAATCTGATAACCGATACGAAAGGGAAAAAAAAATATTTGAGCAAATTATTCGAAAAATCCTCACTGGAGACTCATCACGCTACTGTAAAAAAAAAATATATATACGATCTCAACTCCTCAATCCTTTTGCCCGCAGCGTCCCACCCGACCGACTACCCGATCACCAACTCCCTGATGCACGTGATCTGGGCGCGCGGGCAGGAGCAGGGCATGTACGTGCACACGCCGCGCTCCGGCCTGGAGGAGGGCGTCGCCAGCGTTCCCGACTTCTACAAGCCCGACGAGCTTAAGTACCACGGCAAGAAGGGCCAGAGGGGCGTGCTGGCGCTCAACTTCTTGGGTGAGTTTGTCCTTTGGGCGAAGTTCTTCCCTTTGTTTTATATATGTGCGTGTGTATGTATATATGCTTATAGTTTTCTGATCGTCAGCGTAATGATGGTTTTGATGATGACGTTATTATTACCATATCCATAACTCGGATGATGATCGTCAATCTTATTTTTTTTATATGTTTATTTATTCATTACATCGGCTTTTTATTTAATTTCAGGAGGGCACGTTTTGCGGTTCCACTCCTCAAGAGTGTCGAGAAACCACAGAAACTGACTGGAGAAACTGAAGCCATGGTTGGTCACGAATCAGAGCCTGAGGCAGAAGCCGAGGCCAAAACCGAGCCAGAAGCCGAAGCCGAAGCCGAGGCCGAAGCAGAAGCCGAACCAGGTAAGCTTCATGGCCACGGTAGTGTAGATGCTTTGTGTATTTTACATAAATGACTTATCACTTATTTTGTCGTCATAAAAGTTTTATAATGATATACTTCCTTTAATTCTCATTTTCAACCAATTATTTTCCCGATTCCTCCTCTCTCTCCAGAGCCGATCAGCGGCGCGTCCCCCTTCGTGCCGCGCGGCAACCTCCACGCCATGGACTGCACGGACATCGTGATCGGCAGCGCCCGCGGGAACCTCTACCGAATCGGCGACTACTACACGCGCGACCGCTCCACGCCCCGCACCGACGAATTCTGGGGCGGAGAAAGCTCCCTGACGGCGGCGCTGGGCTGGGAGGAGGACGGGCAGACCACCATCGTCTTCAGGAGGAAGCTCAACGGTGAGGGGAGAAGTTCGGGGCTGGGGGGGAGGGGTCGTGGGAGGGGGGGTTTATGCAAGTGGTGGTTTATTTTAGAAGAAGGGAGGTGTGAAAGCAGGTTTTAGGGGCGGAGGTGAACAGTAGATAGGAAAATAAAAAATGTGTTTGAATGGTCTTTATGACTAACGAGAAGAGAGAAGGGGAGAGGCCTTTGGAGGATATGAGAATGTGTGAAGTTCGCATCGCGTGCATTCTGAGTTTGTGTCAACTGAGTAATCTGATAACCGATACGAAAGGGAAAAAAAATATTTGAGCAAATTATTCGAATGTGTGTATATATATGTCTATATGTGTATATATATGTGTGTGTGTATATATATGTATATGTATATATATATATATATATATATATATATATATATATATATATATATATATATACATATGTATGTGTCATGTATGTGTTATATATGTGTGTGTGCGCGCGCGCGCGCGCGCGCGTGCGTGCGTGCGTGCGTGCGTGCGTATGTTCGTTTGTGTGTGTGCGTGCGTATTATCGTGTGTATGTATGTATGTGTATACACATATATATGATATATGGACGTTTATAAGTGTGTATGTTCACATGCATATACTGTATGCATGTAGATAGATATAGATGTGTATACTGCATATAGCAACACACACTCATTCCTTCCAGAGAGGAAGACCGACCCGACGGCGGCGGCGGAGGAGATCGACTGGTGCGGCAACCACTGGCGTTACCCGCAGGGCTGCACGCCCGGCCAGGACTGCGAGTACTACGCCCGCTGGGAGTACCTCGAGAAGACGGATGACATCAAGTTCACCATCCAGACCTCGTTCACCGACCGCTGGACGGGCATTGGCTTTTCCGATAACACGAGGATGGTTCGTTATTTCCGCGTTATCATTTTTTTTTTCTCTCCGTTATCAGTTGTTTTTGTCTGTTCGTCAGTGAAACTTGGTTGTTTGCTTTATAGAGTTTTTTTTTTTCTTTAGGTGATACTCATAGTTTGTTAAAGTATTGGACTCTTTCTCGTCACGCTTTAGTAATGTGCTTAGGTAATGTAATCTTTGTCAAACTTATGAACGATGAAAGAAACCCCATTGCCTGTTGCAAAATCTTCATCCACATCAAGTATTCCACCGAGAAAGAGGGAACGCAGAGTATCGCATCCCTAAAATATCCCATCAATAGAAACCCAGCAAGTATCGCATCCCTAAAATATCCCATTAATATAAACCCAGAAAAAATATCCTTCTCAATTCTCCTTCCGCTTCGCCTCCTCAGCCCCTAACTGATGCAGTGATCGGCTGGGTGGAGAACAGCGGCCGCTACTTCATGTTCGACGCGTATCTACGAGCCTACTCCATGCCCGTCGTGGACCCGTCGCAGGGCATCAGGAACGAAACGGGCAAGATCGAGGACGGGATCACGACCATCAGCTTTCTGAAGAAGAGGACGTCCAATGATGCGGAATATGTGGGTTTTGTCGCTTTTGGTTTTAAGTCTGGGTTGTAGGAGGGGGTTGATATTGTTTAGTGGGGGTATTCAGTATGTTTGGACTTGTAAGAAATATTGGCTTTGTCATTTTCTTTACATTTACTGAAAACTTGGTCTTTGAGAATGTTGAGTTTCCTTTTCATCATGAATGTAATGTGTTTCCTCCATCTTTCAGGACTTGAACTTCACAGACGAGAAGTGCCTGTACCTGGTGTTCCCCATCAAGGGTGGATTCATCAACTACGTGTCCAAGAAGGTCCGCAAGCACGAACGCACGCCGGCATTCTCCACAGAGCGCGTCTGCATCAGACCCTGCAGCAAGTTTGGTGTGTATCGTTGTTTAAAAAGCTGACTTTAGGCAAAGATTGCCATAGGCTAAAATTTCTTATCAAATCAGTTATTTATATAGCGATGTGTGGTTTCTGTTATAAGGATATGTGGTAATATGTATTCCCTTTTTCAATAAAATGCAGCAGT